TCTAACAAAACAACAGACCGTCTATTATATCTAATATTTTTAACCATAACATACAAATAAATTAGCTGTTAAGCTTAATTATTATCAAGTATAAAGCTCACTTAAGATACTCAGTCACTTTACATAGAGTTTAACTCATTAGCCCAGTTACGTCTGAGACGTCTGACCCTGAAGGCCGAGCGCGTGCATTTTTTTGTATTTACAATCATCTCACGTGCTTTACAATCATTAAATGTCATTACGTAATATTGAATGTTGTCAACGTAGTTGATAAATAGTAGTAGGTATTAAAAAGATTGAGAGTTGGTTGTGACCAAAATGTTCCTTGCATTAGAATTGCCCTGCCCTCTCGGATCTCTTCTTAAAGGCTAGATTTGCATAATTAAAGATTGAGTGCTGCTAACAGCTTCACTGACTTTTCCGCCTTTAAGAGTCATAGCGTGATCTTAAGTAGAGCTTCCTCGTGGATTGTAATTTTAAATACATGAGAATTCTACAAGATACAGGTACATCCAGTTCTCACCCTTCATCTTTATTAGATTAGTATGTATCTATTACGAGTATGTCAGAAAATTTAATTTTATAATTCATGTAAAAGCATCGGTTTTGAGGTGTTTATGAGATTCGCATGCTTTCATGTTGGTATGTTTTCAAACACATAATTGGTCAGTAATTTGTACTTGTAACTTGCAGTTACCGTTTAAAGATCAACATTTTGTAGTTGAAAGGTGAAGGATCTTAATATGGTAGGATGTTTTGAATGAGTTAATTAAGACGAACATGACCTTTAAAAGATCAGAAAAAAATTGCGATATGATTGTATAAATAGTAGACATTGTGAGGTTGCCTTACACATGAAAAAGACTATTTAGTGTGAACTTAACTCGTGCACCAAGGGTTCAGTACGTATTAACAAACGTTTATAACGGGCACCATACCTCGAATATTTTTGCTCGTTTGTTTTCAAAGACACACTTATTTACTTTGCAGTTCTGACATTACTGTAAAATCTAATAAATACTTCAATTTTTATGGATAAAATAAAATATGTATGACAAAAAATAATGTTTTTTTTTCCTTAACTTGTTCTGTAAAACTTTCCTTTTTTTCTAATTTTCATCCTTCATTTTATCCATTTCAATCCTTTTTGTAAGTTATTGTTACTTTATAAGTAGTCATTGTTATTAGCGTAGTGCCGATCGAGCCGCAACGTAGTGGTTGAGCCACTTGGCCGGGGGCAACTTGCGCCTTCCCCCGGGATAGAGCCTGGACTGGCGCGGCGTCGATTAAAAAGCTACCTTAAAATCGCATAGTCCGAGTCCTCTCCAGAGTTCGGCGTTTAAGGTTAGGGCCATCAGGGTGGTTTTAAGTGGAAATACCACATAACTCAATAGATTCAAAAGATTCAATAGATTTTCCACCTCGTCACCAAAAAAAAAGGACAGCGAGAAGTACCTACCCTGAGAGTTCGATTTATTTAAAACTTAATGAGAGTTGAGGAAAGAAAAAAGAGAAGTCAGTGCTCGCAAACTGCAGCGTTGAAGAATTGTTCGATTTATTTGTGCGCCACTCACACAGGTTTAAAATCCAAGGCTTAAATGACTGTATCTTTTGATAGCGGTGACTTTTTTTAAGATACAAAAGCTTGATTGAACTATAGAAAAGTATTTCTATTTCAAACTGATACCTCTACGCGTTGATAAAAAAGTGTCTTCGGATAGACAGAGAGACAACAAGGTGAGCTTTACAGCATCTTATCGTTTTATAAAGGGAACCCTAAAAGTATGTTAAATTGTTAGCTAGTTAATTGATAGGAGGTCCTTCACCTTTTGGCCCAACTAATGAATAAAGAATAATATATAGTATAGTATATAGTATAGTATATAGTATTATGTTAATTGTCTCCTGTTGTCTCTTTAAGACCAATCTTAAATGATGGTTTTGTTTCCAAAGAAATATAATGGTACGACTTTTTTGTTCAAAACAAATTTGTTTCAAGCTTAAATATTGTATAATGTTTTGAGTTTAATTAATATAGACGTGTATTTAACTTAATTTTTTAGTCAGTTGTAGTGTTAATAATAATCATTTCCATTATATTTACGTACGTGAAACAAACGTTGCAGGAACTCTTTTTTGGCCGCATGAAAAAGTACTTAAAAGTCTTTTATCAGGGGGCACCAAGGCAAAAAGTACTTAAAAGTCTTTTATCAGGGGGCACCAAGGCAAAAAGTACTTAAAAGTCTTTTATCAGGGGGCACCACCTTGAATAGTTGGGTCATGCCGGTTCTGATGTATTCCTTTGGTATACTTAGATGGACTCCGTACACTAGATTGCAATTCAAAGGCACCACCCACGTTCATCGGTAATGAGATCGGTATTTCCCGCTAAAGTTTACGCGGACTATTTAATAACAAAACTGCACAATCGCGAGATAAAGAATCTCATAGAATATTTTCTACATACTGATGTAGGACTACATCGCAATGTACTTGCAGTGGATACCGAATTCACTCCGCTCGCTTTGGCTAAAGAGAATTGGCGCAATCCTGTAGTACTTAGTAATAATGATCGCAGGGAGGTATGGAAGGGCAAAGAGCTCCATGGTCGGTTTTATCGGGCCCTAAATGGGTCCAATAAAGACTTAAAAGCATCTACGTCTTGACTGACTGTATGGTGATCTCTTCGGAGAAATTGAAGGTTTTGTTTGTGCGATTTTGGACGAAGTAATCATGACGAATAACTATTGGATATATATCCTGAAAAATGGTACGGTTGACATCTGTCGGGCATACCACCGCCCTGGGGAATCAATCAGGCATATTATTAGTAGGCCAAAACCTCCTTTCTAAGGAGAGGCCTATGTCCAGCAGTGGACTAGTATAGGCTGTTGATATTATTTATGATTATTCTCGTCTCGCTAACGGTGAATATTTGCACAGGCACAACCAAGTAGCCAGGATCGTACAACAACAGCTTGCCCTTAAATACCAATGTGTTAATTTAGAGGTGGCATACTACAGGTATGTGTCCGACCCAGTTCTCGAAAATGGTCGGGCCATGATGTATTGGGATCGATATATTATCACAGACAGGACTATTGTTGTCAATAAGCCTGATATGTCGATGTGGTGATAGGTCGATTAGAGTGCCGCGCAATGACTGTTGATATCGCCGTTCCTCATGACGAGAATCTCGTGAAAGTTGAAAAAGAAAAACAAATAAGCAAATATTTGGATTATCTAACGAGTTTGTCGACATGTGGAATGTCGTTCAGTGGTCATAGTTCCTATAGTCGTAACTGCTCACGGATTGATAGCCAAGATTCTCGACAAACCCCTTAAGAGGCTCACGTTAGACGGCTGGATCAAGGGTCTGATGCAGAAGGCAGTTCTCATTGACACAGCCGGTTTAGTGAGGAGGTTCCTATCTTTGGAGTCCTAACCACCGGTGTCTTAATCCCTGTAGCCGATGTCAGTGGTCTACTTTTTTTTATACTTTTAGAATGTTTTTTTTAAGTGTATGATAGAAATGTAATTGATGTGTATATAACATAAATGAAGTGATAATAATATGTATACATTAATTAGTAATATAATATTAATAGAATTTACTTAGAATTGGCACCAATAACCAATTAGGAACCTACATATTCTGGTCATCCTTAGACCAGGAAATAAAGTAATACTTGACAGCATTACTTTCTAGTCAAAAGATGACTCATGTGCTTAAAAGGTCAAAATGCAAATATTTGGAAGTTTTTGATATGAAGATTTCATTCCAGCATCTTTTTTTACTAAGTAAAGGGATGATGAGTACAGGATACTGTCGATCGCAACATAATTTGAATTTACAAATTGTTGTTCACAATGGTCATTAGGTACTTTTTTCGTAGTTCAACATAATAATGTTAACTTAATAATGCTTTAAAAGGTTTTTTCGTATATGTTCACACGTGCGTTTCAGATAAAATGAAGTTATTAATTCACAGATTTTAGTGGTTAAACTTCGACCATAATTTATTAAATTATTTAAAATAATAAATTGAGAAAATTGGTCAACAGACACAGGAAATGATGCCTACTGAACTGTTTACACTCAACCTATTTGAATATTTATGATTGATGATGACGATATGATTACTGATAAATTATTTAGCATAAAAGAATTTTAAGGAAGATTGAAGTTTAATAGGTTTTATCTTATTTGAAAAGTTAAAATTAGAACTGGCAGATTATCTAGTCGAGTCCAAAACTAAGTCGAGCTTGAAAAGTTATTATTCAAAGGAAAATTTACATATTTCAACAGACTAAAACTGTCTTCACTCTAGCCTTTGATCAGAATATGCGATCGATGAACTTATGTTCAATGCAGACTCCATCACAACGAGACGTACAAGGGAGTTTATACGCTAAAATAGAGAATTGTGGCGAAAATGCAGGATAAAAGCTTGTGTAAAAATATTTAAAACAATAAGTTTAAGAGAATAAGTAGATTTGATTTTTTAGGTGATCAATAAAGTTACATATGAAGACTGAACAACTTTAAAATAGTTTTTTTTTAAGTAAAGAGTACAAGTATTATCATAGCTTCTTGTACTGCAATGCATAAATTTTATGATATGTCTGATATCGATACACATTGAACACTAGTGTAAGCGCCAGTGAATTAGTTATTTATCAATTAAAGGAATGTTTTGCAATAGAACAAAGTCGTATTGATTTAACTCAATGAGATCATTAATATTAATATCTTATCTGCCACTGTACATAGTGCTAATGTTCATTTAACAGGTTAGCCGGAGCCATTGTAGTCTATAATTGGTTACAAAATGAATTGAACTGTAAACATTTATCTTATCGATCCTGTAGTTACGATAATTATACAAAGCCTCTTGTCTCATTCAATGAAATGTTTCATTTAAATTCATCACCAAAGTGTCTTCCATAAAAACATAAATATTGGCACACAATGAAGTGTCATTTAAAAATATACTCACCACAGATGGATCTGATTTCTTCACTTCCTTGATTCGAAAAAAGCCATATATGAAACTCACAACGTACAATGTTGAACTTACACAGAAGACACCGTACAGTCCAATTTTGCGCACTAATATCCCACTAAGAGCCGCCCCTACTGGCACTCCCACGGAGTGGAACAAATTCACTATTCCTATCCTCAACGTCCTTTGTTCCTCTGTTGTAATATCCGCTATATAGCTAAACACTCCCATGAACATTGTAAACCATCCTCCCGTCAACGCCGGAAAAATAGCTTCGGTCACGGCTGCTACTTCTACGGGCAATTCGTAAAAAAAATATGTATTCACTATGAGTCCTAAACTCGTCAGTAACTCCCCAATTATAGGTAGCAGCATACAAAATTTTCTTTGTCCAATTTTGTCACTATATCCTCCAAGGAATATCAATATTCCACAGGGTAAAAATGATTGCAATACAGTTTTCCAACCAGTTACTGATGCCACTAGTGTTTGTACTGCCTCCTCTTCAGCTGTGTAATTTGCTGTCTCTCTTCTTGTTAATGCATCACACACATGTTGATCGAATTGAAGGTTAACTCGACACGCTTTTTCTAAATAAAGATTTTGAGTCGCTAAAATGGACAACACTGAAGGCATCACGTAGCAAGCTAAAATGGGCTCTACTGTAATGAGAGATATCACTCGTTTTAATTTTTGAAAATAACTTAATGTGTCCCAGTTTTCTTCGTCAACTTTCTCGGTCTCTTTTTCCATTTTTGGTTTACTTAAACTATTCTTAATTACATTAGTTCCATTTAAGTTACCACCATTTAAGTTTAGAGTTTTATCAGCAGTTTTATTATTCTCCGCATTTTTGCTATCCACAGCCATGACTACGTCACGCGTATCTGAAACAGAAACATTAATTATTTTCTACATTTATGACCGTTATATCGATAGCTGAACAAGTTTGAATTATACAGTGAGGCACTAAATTTTTGTATGTTTTTACATGACATTGTTTGCAATTTTTCCATAGCTCTTTTGTACATCTAATTGGTAAATGAACCACCGGAACGCGGTAATCATTTCATGATTGTCCCACATGCTTAGTTTAATCGTTTCTAACAACTGTACTGAATCAACCGTACTTGGTTAGAAATATTTTTTCATTCACCGGCTTCCTCTTATAAATGTCATCGAGATTATAAGCAACAACGCATTATCTTTGTAAAAAATATATTTAAAACATGTAAGTATAATAAGCTTGTTCAAGTCTCAACCTATTGATATGACGCGGGTTTTTGCTTTGAAAGGCTAAAAATGTTACAATACAGTTTAATTTAACGGTTTATTACGGCTGAATCTGTTGCGGAAATACTACCCAGTATTTGCTATTTACATTGTTGTCAGGGAAGAAGTTTTAATCATTGTGTTTTCAATTAATGTATACTACTAGATTTTAACACTGTTTTACTCGTGTAAATTTTTTTTTTCTATCTTACAATGTATCTTACATGTTGCAATGTGCAAATATGCAAAATTTCATGATGATTAGTTGTGTAGTGTGTTAGGCGTGAAATAGTAAATAACAAATAAACTTATATTTTTATTTATTATATAAGTGACAATATTAGACAAGATATAATAATTCAGTACCAGTTAAGAACGAACAAAGCAAGAGTACAATAAAAAACTGATTTCTTATAAAGAAGTCACAAAGTAATTTTTAAGTATTTCTAATTGTAGTCGATATTTCGAACAGTTAATACACCTAGAATACCTATCTACGAGCTTGTCTTCATGCTAAAATTGCAAAACATTTATGTCATACATTCGGGGTGTACAAAAACATTAGTCAATAAACGTATGTGTTAACTAAAGGACGTTTTTTCTTGAGCAATATTTGTTTCTTTGATTAATTTTACAAAAAAAAACGTCCATAAGGACAGGTAAGTCGAGTTAGCTGTTTTTTTTATTGTAAAGGAGGGGAAACGAGCAGACGGGCTACCTGATGGTAAGTAACTACCGCCGTCCATGGACACTTGCTACGAGTACTCAAGAGTCACAAATGCGTTGCCGCCCTTTCAGTGCTCCCCCAGAATCAGGGGAAGGAGGGGTAAGGGGTTCGGTAGCCTCACACAAGTCATGAATAGCAACGAAAGATTTGCATAACACCGGCTTTGGCTTTCTGTGAGGCCGTGGTATCACTCCAGTGGAGCCTGGCATGGCTCTCCCACGTACTAATTCGAATCCACCGAAACTCTCTCAACATCGGCATGTTTGCTAAGTCGAAATAATTTTCAATCATCACTTAATTGTGTAATAAAAATATTTATCTATTGAGAATCTCTTATTTTTAATCGACTTAAAAAATGGAGATTTTTATATTCTTGTAAAATTAGGGTTTCCTTTACGTTGTGTCCCGTTTTAATTACGAGGAAAAAATCTACCAATGAGGGCGAAATTTAAAAAACGAAGAACACTGTTTAATACAATTAATTATGCTTAAGTCGGTTATATTATTTTTGGGTTAATTATTTTGCTCGTAGTGAATACCGTGTGCTCTTTATACATACGAGTGTACTTCCAAAAGAAAATTGGCAATTGTGAATTCTACTAATTAGTTTATCTATTACTGCAACCTTGACGGAGAACGACACAATCCAAAACATGTTATTGGCAACTGGAACCTAATAAATACTAAAAAGTAGTAACCCAAAGCTAAACATCGAAAATTAAATATCACTGTTACTTTGAATTGCTTCTGTAGATGCTTGCGTATTTCTAATTTAACGTCTAAATGTTGTGATACCATTATGAAATGTGTAAGTTCTACTAATGTAGGGTCTGTAATTTAATCTAGGGTGAATTATGGTGATAAGTGGTTAATCTAATTCACATTAGACAAAATTAAGATGTTAATAATAATAAAATAACCTCACACATTTCACACACGGTCGTTTAATCCCAAACTAGGCAGAGTCTGTACCTGTTTTGCGGTAAGCAGACTGCTGATAAACATACCTATTTCTAAATACGTACAAATCTATACAAATAAATAAAATCTAAGCGTCTGTTTGTAATGTCAAAATGCCATAAGCCTAAAAACCAGTTTAAATATTTTCTGTTTGTCTGTCTGTGTGTCTGTCTGTTTGTTCACGGTAAGCTTCAAAACGGCTGGAACGATATTGATAATATTTTACTACCAAGTAGCTGTCTATATAAGGAGTAACCTAGGCTATTATTTAACTGACATCAAAAGGAGGATGTCAATTCGGATGTTTATATTTTTTTTATGCATACATAACTCCGTCATATATGGACAGATATTCAAAGTTCTTTTTTGTTCAAACTGAGTTTATTGGTCCCATTTAAGTTTCATATAGATCTAATGATGAGTTTTTTAGACAGACAACGGAACTCTTCAAAAAATGACAGCAAATCAACCGCGGTTGTTAGGTAGAGACTGCTAGGTTGTTAGTGTTCTTTGTTAGTATTTTTAGAAGTCAGTTCAACTTTTTTTAAAAGGATTTATCCTCTCAGAAAACCCCTATAAAATTTTACCCGATCCGCGAATCAAACCCAAAGCCTCACGTACCACCTACACCACTAAGGCAGCGCAGGGCCGCAACCGCTAGTTCAAGCGCCGTGTTTCTTTTTCCGTGTTTTTTCCGTGTGGAAATCGCCCTTCCAATACCCCCCACCGGATCAAGTTATTTTTATCCTAATTTCAAAGTGTTTAGAAATCATATTCGTCTTGGCATGCCGCGGGACACCGCAGTTTCATTCTACAGATTATCATGCCACCATATCCCGCAAGTTACACAGTCAATTAGTTTCGTCTGCTCGGATATAAAGGTTCTGATTAACTGGGATTCAGTATTATTAGCAGTTTTTGCTGAAGATGAAGAGAGATAAACACAAACTGATATATTAAAGCAAAAGCAATTCTGGGTACATAATTTGTGAAGAACACGAGAGACACTCAGTGTGAGTCAAGTCACACTGAGTGTCTCTCGTGTTCGCGCGTGCTTCCCCCTTTGCCCACGGGCCCAGCCCAGGCTGCACCCCATTTGCCGACAACACCGCCATATTCAGGTTAAACCTTATTTCAATTAGTCTGACTGTCATATGCCTTGGCATATGACAGTCAGACTAATTGAAATATAATAACACTACTGAATATATAATGACACTGCGCTACGTCTTGACGTGGCGCAGTGTAATTGTGTCGAAAAAGTAAAATAATATTAATTCTAAGCACATTGAAATATGGATAAAAAGAACTTGATCAGAAATAAAATCGTTTACCAAGCTGTACCATGTCGCGACGTCCGTCACCCTGATATCCGATGGGCCCCGAGTCGCCTGATGTGTAGTGATCATGGTTTCCACCTCCTGCCCCTAAAGGAGCTCCGGAGCCACATGTCACCCCCAGGCCCGGCGCTTATGAAGGACGGAGATCATTGAGCGACCACCGGCGCTTAAGCCACCTGCAGTACCTGGTCTATTCCCGGGCCTGGTGTGACAGGAGAGGGATCTAAGTGACTCCCGGTCCAAATTCAAACTGCAGGAGGAGTTAGTCGCTCCGTACTATAGTCGAAATCAGTCACGAGTTTATGCCTCTGCTCCACACACGCTTGATATTCGGGCATCGTGTAAAGCATCATGACCACGCTCTGGCCATCGTAATGGCAGCACCCGAGCGTTATCTCTTGGCAGATCAGACACAGGTGACCTCCAAAGCATCCTTTGCGTCAGCCAATATCAGAGGGTCCCGTGTTTCCTATCGAGCCAATCCTTGATAATGCGTCTTACCGTCGCAATAACAGCGTGCCAGAATTAAACCGCCCCGTAATATCCCGAACCTAAAATTTTCGCCCGGTATAGGATTTTTGGGAACCCCGCCCCTGCGTCTTGAATGATTCAAATTATACGTTTAATAAAGTAATTCGAAGCCCATACACATTTGCATTTATTTTCGTACAATGATCAATAGATGTTACTATGATGAGGTAACATACATTAGATATGCAAATTATGAAAAAGTTTCTTTGTCCTGGGCGTGAATTGAACCCAAAACCTCCGGCTTAGCAGTCAAGGTCAGTAACACCTAAACCAACAGTCATAAAAATTAATTAAATTTAATATTAGTTAGTATTATAAAATTTTGGTAAATAAGTCGTTCATTATCATCATCAACAGCTTTTATTAGTCCACTGCTGGACATAGGCCTCTCCTTAGAAAAGAAGTCTTAGCCTACTATACCACGCTGTCAGTACAATAAGTCATTATAGGGCCATAATTTTAGTAAATAATATTTTTCTAATTAAAAGCTATATTTCAAGTCAAGTCACTGCAAGTCACTGCAACAAAAGTCTCTTTGCTGAAGCTGAAATTAATCTAAATTCAACACTATGTACATAGTGTCATCATCATGATCATCAACAGCCTTTAACAGTCCACTGCTGGACATAGGCCTCTCCTTAGAAAGGAGGTTTTGGGCTGCTAATACCACGCTGGCCAGACGTATAGGTTTTGTGTCAAGTTTTCCTTCTCTTGCCAACCCCACGGGGCTCTTACGAACCCCACGGGATAAATGGGGGTGGTGACAATCCGTATTCTTAATCCGTCACCACACATACATAGAGTAAATATATGTTATTATAAAAACTTTCAATCCTTGTCTTTTAAGTTATGCATTAAACTAAACGTGACTTAAGGTGATGTTTAAGTTTTTACTTTAAAAACATCATAATATAATATACAATTCTTATCACAATAGCAGCCTTGTTTTATTTTTTTGTTATCTTAGTTGCTTCTAGTCTTAGATCTAGTAAAATATCTTCGAAACGAAACCGCGCTTACTTGACATAGTGTGGTTTTGT